CTCTCTCTCTCTCTCTCTCTCTCTCTCTCTCTCTCTCTCTCTCTCTCTCTCTCTCTCTCTCTCTCTCTCTATGTCTCTCTTTTTGTTTCTCCCTCTCTCTTTCGTCGAGCGGTGTCTTCAGTGGCACCAACTGCGGGATTGGTACCAAGACATGTGTCGGCACGCTATCGAAATATTCGAACTTGGCACAAACGACATAACTACCTCGGGTAGATGTTTAGACCTGCGCAACATGAAAAACTGATCCGCTGCGAGGAAGAAACGGCATGAGAAATCGGTGTACAGCAGCAGTAAATATCGTCAAATGAGGCAGGAGGCGAAGAAACCAGAGCACAAGGATAAGACACGAGCACCTGCGAGAGCGGGACCGCCTGAAGGCGGAAGTCGTTCCCCCTGATCTCGAGCAGCCCCACGTTCTTTGGCACGGCTTCGCCCTCGCACAGGGAGGTCGCCACCGAGGACCCCGGCTGGGAGATGCGGAATGTTCCCACCAGAGACTCCATCGGCTCCACCTGCACACACAGGAACAGAAAAGGTGCAAGGGCGGTGAAAAGTGGCGACAAACACGAGGATAGCTTGGCTAGCCTTTGGCGGTACGGGAGCTAACTCCCTCAGGCGGCCTCACCTGCAGGAACAAAATGAGTGCAAGGGCGGTGAAAAGTTGGGAATAACACGATGTTCGCTTGGCTAGCCTGTGGCAGAACGGCAAGCTGTCTCCCACAGGTGACGGGGCAAGGATTAACTGCCAGCGGTGCGATACGGGAAGGCAACAAGGTTAACCCCTGGATGGGTGAACGCTACCCGCGACGCATCCTCCATCCGGAAAACAAACATCTGCTGAAGCAAACGATTTCATGCGAAGGAAAGCACACCCATGTTAGGATCCCATCCAACATTTCCTCCGCGTCTACGTGGCGTCTCCCCCAAATCTCGAGCTGCGTTAGAAAACACCACGCCCCCTCCTCCTCCACCCCTCCCGAATCACGCAACCTAGAGTCGGCAAATGCAAGGTTCGGCACTCAAGAACGCCTTTTGTTCACTGGGCACAACAAATAAAAATCAGCGCAGGCAACACCGGTGACGAAAAGCGTTGGCAGCAGACGCGTTGTAGTCCTGTCAAGGGAACCAAGACGTAGCGCGCCCGTGTCAGCCAGAGCTCCGGCAAGTGAACAGGGAATTAACACCACAAGCCCTGATCTTTCGCTAGACGTTTCAAAACCATTTGGTCGCCCGCCCAGGACAAAACTCGTGTTTTCCATTGCTTCAAGGCATTCGGAATGAGCGAGTCACGAAACCGCTTCAGGTGCCGGTACCACCACGTGACAACGGAAAAATACGCGCTCACACGCATGAGAAAAATATCACCAAAACAAGCAGCAAACAAGAGTACACGCGTACAAGGAATGAAACAAACGCAGCAACACGAACAGATAAAAGATCATGTACGACACAAGGTTTGGTCTAGACACACCTGGCACTCGTGCTCGTGTCCCCAGATGACAAGGTCTATCCACTCGGGGATCATCGATTCGTGGATGCAGTTCTTCTTACCCCGCCCGAGGTCTCGGTTCTGCCGGCATCAAACAATAGGTAACATGTGGCACTTTAAGCAACAAGCAAACTATACCACACACAGAGCGGAGGTATGCAGGCGAGACTGCGTAGGCCCGGACTCGTTCCACAGGTCGATGCACACAGAACATTCTTGAGCCAACGTTGGCAAAGCAGCAAGGAACGATTGGCAATCGGTGAACGGTCCTGTGGGAACAATGGCCCGTCCTTTCGAGGACGCGTCAATAGTCTAACCGCTAAGGCATGAGTATCCCCCCCCCTCGTCTAGACAACGCCTCTTTTACCTGGTGCAGGACGAAAACGTTGAAGAAGTCCTTGCCGCCGTCATCTTCCAGTGGACGGAGAAACCTCACCTGCATCATCCAAAATCCATCCATGTCGAACGCCAAGGGCGAGGGTAACTAACCAAAAACGGCGTCCCCGAGACTCAGCACCGTCGGAAGGCAGGAGACAGCCATGCTTTCTTTCTCCCGGGCGTGTGATGCAAGCGTTGCTGCTGCTGTTGTACGTGTTGTCCAAGAGAGAAAACACCGATTAGACCGGCCACGTTCTGCGAGAAAGCACGCTGGCCTACCTTCTACTGCTGTTGTCCGTGTTGTCTACAAGGAAAAGAACGAATTGAACCGCCCCCGTTCCTGGGAGAAAACACGCCGCTAACCTTCTTCTGCTGCCACATGCGGTTGAGCCTCTCGTCCCTCATGCTCCCCATCCCGTAGAGGGCCACTTTGGTCAAGCCTTTCTGGATGAGGATTGGGTTCACCTCTACGTCGTCCACCTGCACGCAGAGAGGGGTTACGAATGCCGAAAGTTGGAGGGAGTGGTGGTGGGGGGGGGGGGGGC